ATTAGCTTCAGGCATTCTGACAAGTCTTTTTGGCGCCTTACATGAAATGAACAGCAGTAACTTCAAATAAGACATAAAGTTAGGGAAATTCAGTTGGGAGCTCACTAGTGTCGATCCTCTCAGTAGGACGTCATCTGGGAAGCTATTTCGTCAACCACACTTTTAAAGCTTTCCAGAACGGACGTAGCTTGTTTCAAACATCCTGAAGAAGAGTGCATTTAAAGGTGGAACATGGACACCAAAGCAACATCTAGTATGTGGAGGTTGTAGTTGCAGCAAAAGAACAAGGTTATTGTGGAGTCTGACTTGTTGACTTGAATTTGGCCTCAGGTAATACTAGAGAAGTCCAAAGGGGAGATTCTGGGTGTGGTAATCGTGGAGAGTGGGTGGGGCTCCCTCCTACCTACTGTGATCATCGCTAACATGATGCACGCCGGGCCGGCGGAGAGGTCTGGCAGGCTGAACAATGGAGACCAGATCATGTCAGTCAATGGAACCAGCCTGGTGGGACTGCCGCTGTCAACATGCCAGAGTATCATAAAGGTATGTGTGTGTGTGTGCACGCGTGTGTGTGTGTGTGTGTGTTCCTTTCATCAGCCACTGAAAGGAACCAGAAAGCAAAGGGGTAAGAAAAGGCCCGTCTCTTCTACGTCACGGGGAAAGTCAGGCTTGGAAGCACCTACAGGACGGAGAGGAGAGCACATTTCAGCTAATAGACGCTAACCATTAGCATTAGCAACTCCAGTGGGTGTGTGAAAACATTCTGACCTAGCCGGCCACGCTGGAATGTCTCAAACTGGACATTTTTGAATCGTAGGACAAATTCTTCACATGCTGCAGATCTATTTAACAGCAGTTTTTGCAGTGACCCCTAATTGAAATACATTATAGGAGACACACGCACTGATATTTGAGAGGTGAAACAAAGTTCAAAAGATTTACAGAAATTGTGCAATTGTGTGTTTGGGTGCTTTTTAAGCTCAATATACTACACTACATCTCACCAATAAGATGTGAATTTCTATATAAATATTGAAATCAATCTGATTGGTCTTTGAATGTTTAACCAGAAGATTTAGAATTATTTGTTTATTCAGGGATCGTAAGACACTTTGTATTAATTCAGAGAGAATCAAGTTTATGAAAAGTAAGAAATTTATTTTCTAAACCAGGGATTCCCACAGTGTGGTGAGCTGCCGCTAGGGGGTGCGCGAGGTGAAAAGTGTAATGGCTGCGGAGCTCAGAGAAGTCTGTCAAAAGTCACCATTAGTGTAGCCAGAAACTCATTTGTGGGTGGGCCTAAGAAAATGTAAGTGGGCCCAATAAACGTAATTGAAAACAAGTATATTTTGCTTGTGTGTGTGTGTGTGTGTGTGTGTGTGTGTGTGTGTGTGTGTGTGTGTGTGTGTGTGTGTGTGTGTGTGTGTGTGTGTGTCCTCCTCACATGCCCTAGCTCAGGGGTCGGCAATCCGCGGCACTTCCATCCATCTGATGCGGCTCTCTGTGCTTGTAAAATAATGAATGGATATTTAAATAAAATGCTTTATATTTTACTGCATTAATTTTACATCTGTAAGCTAATTCTAAATGTAAAGATTGTCTGCGTAAACCTGAACAGGTCCAACCCGGTCTACTGTGTGACCGGGTTGACGCGTCACGCTTGTGCGTAATCATATCGGCGCTTTCTGAGCTGAAGACGATGTGAGATTCTGGGACTCTCCTCAGACGCCACATTGGAGACAGGAACAAGCACAATTCAGCCAAAGTTTCATCATCAGGGAACATTTTCTAAGTGACAAGTCTCTCTGAGAGACCGGGTTTGGAAAACTCTCGCTTCAGTCGGAGGAATCTTCCCGCATGCGCTCTGGTTCTGCAACGCGCTCCAAGCCCCTCTCCACATCTTCAGCTCACTGTGCACCGTACGTACGCGCTGACTGAGCGGTGTCCAGCTCAGATGTTCAGAAGGAAATCTTTTCTTGAGTGATTTAGCTACATCTGCGATGTGCGAAACAAATAAAATGTCAGTTCGTCTGCATGCGGCGGGGTAATTCTTTCTATTCTTTCTATGTCAAAATAAACGGCCAAATACGGGAACTATCCGGTCAACACAAGCCCTGCTTTTAACTGTTCTGTTTTCTTGTGAAAATTGTTGGAAAGAGTAAACAAAAATCAAAGTCTCAGTAGAAAAAATGACATATTTATTGCAATGAAAACCACAAACTTTTGCAATTAACCATCTTCAGCACATTTTTGCATATAAATGCAAGGCATGTCTCAGATGTTTTTCATGTCTCATTGCTGTTATGCTGAAAATGGAGTTCCACACTTTCTGGCTACCTCTGCTTCTTCCAAAATGTCCAGCAGATGACAGGATCAGTTTAGCAAGCCACAAAATTATAAAAATATATTTACATTTACATTATATACATAGTAACAAGGAAGGTGTCATGACCAAAAGCCTTAGTTTATGTGTGCTAAGCCTCAAAGTAACACACGAGAACATCAAATTTTAAATTTAATTTTTTGATTTTTATAATTTATCTTTGTTATTTATTAGTGTTATTTGAGCCACTCAATCTGTTGCTATTTGTTAATTAGGTGCCCGTGTTACTGAGCAGCATGCCCAAGTTTGAACGTTTTTATTTATTTTTTCAAACAGAACACTTGCAATATATGGCAAAAAACTTTAAATCTGCTGTTTTTCATGTTTATATGGTACTTATTTTTCAAAGCGGTCTATTTTATGTACAATGTGATTGTGTTAATTTTTTATACTCATGTATAAAAACGAAGTTATTAAAAGTCACTGCGCTGTGTTGTCTATATGCCGATTGTGTTAATATTTCTCATTCAGGTCTCTCTTAGAAAAGTGACCTCGATCACTGCCTAATTACAGAGAATAGAATATGAAACGGCCTTGATTTTCCTTTAAGCACCACACCGTAGCTCCTTTATTAATTTTTTAAAGAATTTTATAGTTTAAGTAGTAAGGAGTTATTTGAAATCACATGCACCGAGGCGTCACCGGTGATCCTGGTGACGCCTCGGCGTTAAATGGTTAAAAACTAAATGAAAACAAAGTGCGTCAATCCTGACCAAGACGTGCAGGCCTGAGAAACAAAACAAGGATTCATGTGGTTTCCGTATAGCCTGTAAAAGGACATGTTTTCTCCAGGACCAGAGAGGACACAAACTCAATACATCTCTTTTATTGTGAGGTAATAATTTCTCCGGGTTTTGCGGTTGCGGACAGGAATGGACATGCACACTGCGGGTGCGGGCGGGAGTGTAACACACGTTGCGGTTGTGGGCGGTAATGGTCAGAAATTCAGCGGGAGTAGGATGAAGAAAAGAGTCCCGCGCAGGGCTCTAGTATAGAGCTGGTCCAGTGTTCCATGGCAGGGATGAAAACCACATTGCTCCTCCTGAATCTGAGGTTCAACAATCCGACGGACCCTCCTCTCCAGAACCCCTGAATAGACCTTACCAGGAAGGCTCAGGAGTGTGATCCCCCTGTAGTTGGAACACACCCTGCAACCCCCTTTTTAAATAAGGGAACCACCACCCCGGTCTGCCAGTCCAGTGGGACTGCCCTCGATGTCCACGCGATATTGCAGAGCCGCGTCAGCCAACACAGCCCCACAACATCCAGAGCCTTAAGGAACTCCAGGCGGATCTCATCCATCCCTGGGGCCTTGCCACAGAGGAACTTTTTAACCACCTCAGTGACCTCAGCACCAGAGATTTGAGAGGCCAACTCAAAGTCCCCGAGGGATTGAGGAGGTCTTCAAAGTATTCTGCCAACCGATCCACAACATCCTGAGTAGAGGTCAGCAGCACACCGTCCCCACTATAAATAGTGTTGGTAGCGCACTGTCAACTGTGTTGACAGCATCCCTAACCGCTGGTGTCCACCAGCGGGTTCGGGGCTTGCCACCACGACAGGCACCGACGATCCCGCGACCACAGCTCCGTATGTTCAATATTCCTGCATAAAAACGCTGAAATTACTATTGTTAAATCAACATGGATACATGTGATTTTTGTTTTGTAATTAATCTAATCAGTGCGCCATTGTGAACATAGAGTCAGCTGATTTTGGCATCCTTAACTGTTTAACATAGGATCTGAAGAACAAGTCCCAGGTCAAGCTGAGTATCGTAAGGTGTCCTCCAGTGACTAGTGTTCTCATCAGACGTCAGGACCAGCGCTGCCAGCTGGGATTCAGTGTGCAGAATGGCATTGTGGGTACCACTTTGCTCAGTTTTTAAATGATTGCAGTATTTACCTTTAACTGTGACCTAACACAAACATTCCTCTCAACAGATCTGCAGCCTTATGCGTGGTGGTATTGCTGAACGAGGTGGGGTCAGAGTAGGTCATCGAATCATTGAGATCAATAACCAGAGTGTGGTAGCAACACCACATGAAAAAATAGTTCAGATCCTGTCAAATGCTGTGGGAGAGGTGAGTCTGCATCTCAAAAGGTCTGCCACTGAAGAGTTATTTGTAGTAGTAGTAGTAGTAGGGGTCTCAGGGCTTTATCAGCCAAGACCTTAAACCTTGGTTTGTGTTTTACTGTCATCCCAAATGTATCTTCCTCACACGAGTCATCAGAGAAAAGTCTGTGCTTCCTCCAAGCCAATGTCATCATCAGAAGTGGATAAATACCAACAGCAGATCGTATAACTGAGTGGCTGTGGCTCAGGTGGAGGACTGGTTAAGATTAGTTAGGTTTCCAGCCTCTGGACCATGATCGGGCTGGGTCTGAGCGCAGCGCACAGCTGTTCCACGCTTTGCTGTGTCCGATTAACTGAACACATTAGTCACAGTGGCCCTTAGGATGCGACTGCTGCTAAAGGATACGTTGTGTTTCAGATTTACATGAAGACCATGCCTGCTGCGATGTACCGCCTGCTGACTGCTCAGGAGCCGTCTGTCTACATTTGAACCGCACTCCAGAAGTTCACGCTGTTGAAGCCAGCTTGGTGCTCCTCTGGAAAACATTCCTTATGCTGAGTCATGAAACCAGTTATAATTACTTTAATCTGACCAAACTCTAAAACTGCTATATTCAGTTTGCTGTTCATGTTTTGGAATGTATTAGAGCTGGGCAATAAATCGGAAATTTATCGTTATCGAAATTTCTGAGTTTTATCGAGATTATTTTTCCCATGTCAATAAATTTGATAACAAGAAAGTGAAAAGAGGTGTGTAGGTTGGCAGCGTTCATGTCCCTTTAAGAAGCTGTAGCACCGTGAGTCACGTAAAAGTGTGACTCAATGCGATACATGTGACAGCCCCATCTAGTGGACAACTTTTGTCTCTGCGCATACCTGTAGTTATCGTCCATTTATCGTTATCGAGGTGAAATCCTCAATATATCGTGATAATGATTTTAGGCCATATCGCCCAGCCCTAGAATGTATTTATTGAAAGTTATCTGCATTCATTATGTTGGTTTGTACGTTTTAGCCCTAAAAGAACATGATCACTGCACAATAAATGGTTCTTCAGTCAGAACATAGCGTTAAGTGCTGTAAAGATCCAGCCAACCATTACACCACTACATGGCTCCTGATGTCTAAGTGGGGCATCAGAAGAGGTGGAACACGGACATTTCTGCCCACAGTTCCAGCATCAAGCACAGAACCATCTAGGCTGAAGCTAAATGCTGACAGTTTGATGTGTAAACCATGTGACAACTGCACAAGGTCAAACTAAATGTTAAAGCTGCTGTCAGGAGTTCAATTGGCTCACCATGGTTACCACACAACGCATTTTTGTTTTTCTATGGCCCTTCTTAGGGTTCTCCACCAAGACCCCAAGGCACTTCACAACACAGACAGTCTTTCACACGCTGGTGATAATGAGCTACAAGGTAGCTACAGCTGCCCTAACAGAACCCAGTGATGGAGGAGGATGCCAGTCAGACCTGGCAGTCTCAAACGTATTGTGTGTGTCTGCTGAGAACGTCTGACAGAGTCTCCTGTCAGAAGGAACTTTAATTCCCACCTCCAACAGAACTCCCAAAATGTTCCGGGGAGGCGGGGCACATTGAGTCCGAACAGGCCATGTTCGGTGCCTCCATTGTTGAGGTGGTCGACCAGAGCTGTGGCCAAAGGGTCGTCGTGCCTGTCGTGGCGGGAACCCCCGAACCCGCTGGTGGGCACAGACAGTTAGGGATGCTGTCAAGCTGAAGAAAGAGTCCTATCAGGTCTTTCTGGCCTATGAGACTCCAGAGGCAGCTGATAGGTACCGGCAGTCCAAGCAGAATGAAGCTCGGGGGGGTTGCGGAAGCAAAAACCCGGGTGTGGGAGAAGTTCGGTGAGACCATGGAGCAAGACTTCCATATGGCTTTGAGGAGATTCTGGTCCAACATCCTACACCACTATTTATAGTGGGGATGGTGTGCTGTTGACCTCTACTCGGGACGTTGTGGATCGGTGGGCAGAATACTTCGAAGACCTCCTCAGTCACCTTCCAGTTAGGAAGCAGAGGCTGGGACTTCAAGTTGGGCTCTCCTGTCTCTAGTGCTGAGGTCACTGAGGTGGTCACAAAGCTCCTCGTGGCAAGGCTCTGGGGGTGGATGAGATCCGCCCAGAGTACCTTAAGTCTCTGGATGTTGTAGGGCTGTGTTGGCTGACGCGGCTCTGCAATATCGCATGGACATTGGGGGCAGTCCCACTGGCTTGGCAGACTGGAGTGTGTGTGGGTGGGTGTGTTCCAACTACAGGGGCTTCACACTTCTGAGCCTCCCTAGTAAGGTCTATTCAGGGGTTCTGGAGAGGATGGTCCGTCGGATTGTCGAACCTCAGATTCAGGAGGAGCAATGTGGCTTTTGTCCTGACCGTGGAAAACTGGACCAGCTCTATTCTAGGGTTCCCACTCTTTTTTTGACATAAATTTCAGGACATTTTCAAGACTTTCTCAGCTGCTGCAGAACGGGTCAAGTTATTACAGCGAGGGCTGGGTGATATTATTTTCATATCTGGATGTATTTTGAAACAGATATGATAGTGTACCTATACCGCTATATCTTTTGTGTATTTGTTTATTTAAGGATCCCCATTAGTCTTCACCATAGTGAAGGTGAATATCGATAGTGATATCGATTTTATAGTTGTCCAAAGATTGCCGTCTTTCACTAAAGGGAGCCTAAATCTCCTCCTTTTACGGTCAGCTCACGGGTCCCCAGAGGAACGAAAACAGTGAATGCAAGTCAACGGGGCTAAACACACAATTTTCTAATCCGCTTTGCCTTACACCCTGCATCACACATTTGTTGTACTGCAATTTAAATGAAAAGTAATGATGGATGTTTCGACCACGCCAGTCACGTACTCTGAGATTTATCAGCTTGTAAAAGTTCGTAATTAGCATGACTACAACTTAGACCTCAGCACGTCGCATAGATGACATCACCACATAATTTCCTTCCCTAGCGTAGCTGCTACTTACCACATGACCAGATTTATGGTGGTTCTTTCCTCCTGAAGGAAGGATTTGAACTTTGCTGAACTTACAGCCATTTTATCCTGTTTGGTGGTGCACATTTGTAGTCCTGGACGTAATTTTCACATTATTTGGAAAATATGACCAAACTTTGAAATTAATTGCATTTGCTCATACCAAGACGCATGGTTTACATAATGGAATAAATTGATGAGTTATGTGTTTGGACTGAATAATTTATTTTAACAAATCTTTAACTGTTTTTCGTTTGTCATTTATATTGCTGAAATGAATATACTGTACATTTCCGAAAATGCGTCAAAGTCCCTCATCCTAATTTGATTGACAGCAACGGACAGCTTTCCCCACAGTTTATGCAAGACTTAACACTTGAAGCGGGAGACTGTCAATAATACAGAGTTTCGATTTAGGGGATGTAAGAAAAGTCCTAAGAATGGGGACGCTCCCTCTCTGGTCACCATGGTAACGACACACTACAATTCTCTGTTTGCTCCTCTGTCAACAGAGAGAGGAAGAAAAACCTCTCACTCAACATACTGCGATACAGCAGCACTCTTAACCTGAACGTCGTTAGCTTTGGCCCTTCTTTGGAGAAATAAATCTTTACTTGAGTATGAAAAATGTGTAAATCTAGCAACAAAGACAGATGGACACACTGGGAAGCAGAACTGTTCTAAGCAATTTGATTGGTTGGTTGCATCACATTTTATTTAATTTTTATTTAACCAGGATAGAGACCCATTGAGGTTAAGAACCTCTTTTACGAGGGTGTCCTGGCCAAGAGGCAGCAAAAAATACAAACAGAAACAGTTACAACGTAATGACAATGACAAAACACTCAATCATTAAAAGCAGTTACAAGTTACTAACGCCGTCTCTGAAGCTTTCAGTTTGGTTTTGAAGGCATTTACCCCCAAATTCCACTACCTCCGCTCCGCTCCGACACGAACGCCGGAGCAAAATCGGTCCCGTTGTAGTCAATCAGAGCAATTCCACTACTGCGGCCGTGCTCCGGCAGTGCGGCGCCGTGCGCCGCCCTCTGTTCCGGCGTCCGGCAAAAATAGAATCGATCCTATTTTCGCCGGACGCCGGAGCACCTCCGCAGTAAATGGACAGAAATCACAACCGCCCAACAGGAAAAGGAGCGGGCACAACTTCCGTTTTTCACAATAAATCGATAAACAAAAGGCGTTTTTTGTTTCATATGCACAGGTTTAACAACTTTTAACAACTATCAGTGGCGGCTGAAGTTTAAATGCACAAAAGTAAGCCATAAATACAGTTTCTACTATCAAAGTAGTCACACTTTGTTGATCCAAACACTGCTGATCTCTCAACACAAATGATGGGCAGATTAAACAGATTAAAATCCCGCGCATGCTTATTTGCCCACCTCAGGTCTCCGCACCGGAGCGGAGCCGTTGTAGAGCGGGTAGCAGTAAAAATTGAGTTCGGAAGCGAGCGGCTGCGGAAGGCGGGGGTGGACCGGAGCGGAGCGGAGGTAGTGGAATTTGGGGGTTAGTGAAACCTGCTCAGTCATTCTCCAGGTTTTCTGCAGCTGGTTCCAAGCAGAAGGAGCAGAGCAGGCGAAGGCTTTCTTTCCTAACTGTGTGCGAGCAAAAGGAACAGAAAGTAGCAACTGATCGTTACCCCCAAATTCCACTACCTCCGCTCCGCTGCGGTCCGCCCCCGCCTTCCGCAGCCGCTCGCTTCCGAACTCAATTTTTACTGGTATGCGCTCTACAACGGCTCCGCTCCGGTGCGGAGACCTGAGGTGGGCAAACAAGCATGCGCGGGATTTTCAAGATCTTGCGATACAGTCCGAGCAATAAACGCGGAAGTTAGATCCAAACACCCGTTGTGTGGGAGAAACATCGGCATGAGCTGTTTAATCTGCCCATCATTTGTGTTGAGAGATCAGCAGTGTTTGGATCAACAAAGTGTGACTACTTTGATAGTGGAAACTGTATTTATGGCTTACTTTTGTGCATTTAAGTTCAGCCGCCATTGATAGTTGTTAAAAGTTGTTAAACCTGTGCATATGAAACAAAAAACGCATTTTGTTTATCGATTTATTGTGAAAAACGGAAGTTGTGCTTGCTCCTTTTCCTGTTGGGCGGTTGTGATTTCTGTCCATTGACTGCGGAGGTGCTCTGGCGTCCGGCGAAAATAGGATCGATTCTATTTTTGCCGGACGCCGGAACAGAGGGTGGCGCACGGCGCCGCACTGCCGCAGTAGTGGAATTGCTCTGATTCACTACAACGGGATCGATTTTGCTCCGGCGTTCGTGTCGGAGCGGAGGTAGTGGAATTTGGGGGTTAGACCTTAAAGAATGGGAATCAACATTTTTTCGTGTGATTAAAGTGCAAATATAAGGAGGTAACAGTCTAAACACTGCCTTGTAAATAAAAACATACCAATGATTTTGTCTTCTTATTGCCAATGACGGCCATTTCACTCGTGAATATAATTCACAGTGATGTGTTATGGCTCTACAGCTTGTGATGAATCTCAGAGACACATGGTAAACCGAGTCCAGTTTTTGTAGCACAGTTAAAGAAGCATTCATATATATAAGATCACCGTAATCTAGTACAGATAAAAAGGTAGTTGTGACAAGTTGCCTTTTTCCTTCAAAAGAAAAACACGACTTATTACGGAAGTAGAAACCCAGCTTTAGTTTTAATTTTTTCACCAGTTTTTCTATATGAGATTTAAAGGTAAGGGAGTTATCTATCCAAACACCTAGTTACTTATACTCATGGACCATCTCTATGACTTTCCCTTCCAATGTGATTAGTTTAGGAACACTATTCGGTATTTGCCTATTTGTAAAAATCATCAACTTAGTCTTCTCAGCATTACGGGTTAGCTTTAGCTGATGCAATGAGTGCTGGACTAAGTCAAATGCTTTCTGCAAGGATTCAACAACCTGAGAAAGTGATGTTCCAAAACAATAGATGATCGTATAATCTACATAGAAATGGATATTAGCATCTTTAATATTTTGGCCCAAGTCATTGATGTACAAGATAAATAGGAGGGGGCCCAGGACTGAGCCCTGGGGCACCCCCCTCCGGACAACCCCAAAATCAGAGCAAAGATCCTCGCATTTAACACACTGTGTCCTGTTAGTCAGGTAATTTGAGAACCATGCTACTGAGTGTTCTGACAACCCAAGGCTTAGTAATCTGTTTATTAAAATAGCATGGTCAACGGTATCAAAAGCTTTAGACAGGTCTATGAACAGTGAGGCACAAAACTGTTTCCTATCAAGTGCTACTATAATATCATTAACCACCTTCATAACAGCTGTAGTAGTGCTGTACCCTTTTCTAAAACCCGATTGACATTTCGAGAGGATGTCATTAAGACAAAAACTCTTTTAGCTGAACACTGACAAGTGACTCCATTATCTTGGAAAGCACGCTTAAATTTGATATTGGCCTATAATTTGTCAAAACTGCTGGATCTCCTCCTTTTAATAATGGTGAAACATATGCTGACTTCTACACTGATGGAATTTCTTTGGAGTTAATTGAAAGATTAAAAAGAATTGAAAGTGGCTCTGCCTCATAATCCGCTGCCATCTTTAAAAAATAAGGTTCTATAAAATCAGGTCCAGGTGGATTTCTGTCATCTACGTTTTTTAAAGCTTTATGAACTTCATGCACTGTAAAAGGTTTAAAGTTAAAAGGAGCTCCAGAAAAATTTGGGGGTATCATGCCAGATTTTATCAAAGGGGTTCCTACAAAATTAAACAGGGAACCCACCGAAAGAAAATGTTCGTTAAAACAATTTAAGATTTCGAGTCTGTTATAAACTGGAACTGAATCTCTAAGAACAAATGTAGGAAGAGCCTGAGAGATCTTTTCCACAGCAAAAGACTTGATCACTTTCCAGAATCTCTGAGGATCTTTAAGGTTTTCTGTGGTGACCGATAGAAAATATTCAGATTTTGCCTTTTTGATCAGGGAAGTACATTTATTTCTCAGCTGCCTGAAAACAGACCAGTCAGTAGTCAACTCTGTTGCTCTTGCCTTGTCCCATGCTCTATTTCATTCATGTATTATGTTTGCCAATTCTGGTGAAAACCAAGGATTTTCACGGCCCTTAATCCTACATTTTTTAATGGAGCATGTCGATTTACAATTTGCATAAAACTTTCTCTAAAAAAAAGTCCAAGCCAGCTCCACGTCTGGCAATAAATCTATATCTCCCCATTTAACTGCTGATAAATCATGATGAAAATCCTGTTCATTAAAATGTTTAAGATTCCTCTTACAAATTATACGTGGCTTACATTTTGGTATCTTGACATCCTTACATACTGCAACAATGATCGCTAAGATCATTACAAAAGACGCCAACTGAAGTAAACTTGTGTGCCACATTTGTTAAAATCAAATCAATTAAACTAGACTTTTCTGGATATCTAAGGTTCGGTCTAGTAGGCTGGTTAACTAATTGGGTAAGATTATTAGAATCACAGAAGCTTTTAAACTCATCAGAAGTTGCCTTTGTCCAGTCCCAGTTGAAATCCCCTGCCAGAAGTAGTTCAGTATAAGAAAATTTAGACAGCAACTGTTTTAAAGTATGTAGTGCCTTTACTTGAGTATGAAAAACGTGTAAATCTAGCAACAAAGACAGATGGACACACTGGGAAGCAGAACTGTTCTAAGCTATTTGACTGGTTGGTTGCGTCACATGGGCGTCGTGCTGGCTGGATGCAGAAATGAAAGCAGACGAGCGCTACAGCCCGATACCCACTGAATGCAGCCGAAAATTGAAATTCATGTGTAAAATGTTTACCCCTTTGTATTTATTCACAAGGAGGGAAAATACTTTTCCACGACAACTCAAACATTTCCAGGACATTTTTCTTTTTTTTTTCCCAGCATTTTCCATGTGTTTTCCGTGACTGGAAAATCCATTTTCCAGGTTGTCCAGGATGCGTGGGAACCCTGCTATACCCTTAGGGGTCCTGGAGGGTGTGTGGGAATTTGCCCAACCAGTCTACATGTGTTTTGTGGATTTGGAGAAGGCGTTTGACCGCCTCCCTCGGGGAGGCCCTCTGGAGGGTACCCCTGGAGTATGGGGTACCAGGCCCTCTGATACAGGCCGTTAGGTCCCTGTGTGACCGCTGTCAGAGATGGTCTGCATTACAGCAAGTCGGGCTCGTTCCCAGCGAGAGTTGGACTCCGCCAAGGCTGCCCTTTGTCACCGATTCTGTTCATAACCTTTATGGACAGGATTTCTAGGAGCAGCCAAGGTGTGGAGGGCATCTGTTTTGGTAGCCAGAGGATCAGGTCTCAGCTTTTGCAGATGATGTGGTCCTGTTGACTTAATCAGAACGTGATCTCCGGCTTTCACTGGAGCGGTTCGCAGCCGAGTGTGATGCAGCTGGAATAAGAATCTGCTCCTCGAAATCTACTAGAAACTCAGTTCAATACCAAATTGACATAGCATGTCCGTTTCCCTAGCAGTAAGCTGCAGAGTGTTGGAACCCAAGTTCTTTCTCTTTAATTTGTGGTTTTCAGCAGACGAAGGTTACTATACTAGATACTGCCTATGTGTATATACATGTACCTTATTTTTCTTCAGATTACTCTAAGTGTTGGTGCTGCTGTAACAAGTTAACTTCCCCACTGTGGGATTGTTACGTGCAGTGCCCCTTTTTGGCCAGTAGATGGCCTCAATGGCTTCTGCCTCGACTGTCTCCTGGTGCCCAGCTGTGGGTAAGTTGACAATCACCTGAGTAGCTGGTAAAAGCTGCCCTCTTGCCCTCATTCAACGAGAAGTGTGGACACGGAGGTGTTCACCCTTTTCTCTCTCCTCGTGGTATCCTTGTGTTTAACTTCGTTCGCTGGCATTCTCTAGATTCGGATTGACTTTTGGATTGACCTTAGACCGGCCCTTGACTTCGATTTTGGCTTTGCCCGAGCGTCACTGCCTTTCAGGACGACTCGTGTGTGTAATTTAGAATTATAAATAAGAATATTTCAGTTAATTAGTTTCCCTCTTTCCAGCCCTTTTGGCTCGCCTCCTTTTGTTAGACGTTTTTACCATCTGTGAACTCCTGCCTTTAGATTTGTTTAATAAAATATTTTCTTTTGGACACTTACACTTTATTATTATTCCTCCCACACGTACACTTTGTTGCTCCCTCTACCACCTCATCACTCCTAGCGAGCTGAGGGACATAATAGGGATCAATAAAGTCTGTTCTATTCTAAACGACTCCTTAAATGACAAGCCTTTCCTCTACGATTTATCGGATTAAATTCTTTATTCCTGACAGGAACCCCTCCTCTGTCCCGACAGCGTTTATAACCTTTGCAACTTGTTTGGTTATTT